ATGAAGTTCTTCCGGGTAAATTCCTTGGAAAAGACGCTTGAGCGGCCTTCTTGCCCAGGTCTGCTTAAGATGCGAGCATATGCTTTCTTTATATGCCTAAAAGTGTTCTTTCTTCATATAATGTAAGGTAAGGGCAGTCTAAAATGGATCTCAAAGGGTGAGCGGTGGGTGTCAGTCAGAAAAGAGGGGGAATGAATATCATAGCTTTTTCTCTCTATCTCGGATGACAAGAAACGGATACCAGGCTGCCTGCTTTGAGCATATTGAAACCATATACGAGATTGAGAGGAGCATCTTATTTACTTCAAAGTAGATAGAGAGTAAATGAGAATACATAAAAAATCAAAAGAATTATACCAAGGGAGGGCAGTGGGTGAATGCGTTGAGGATGGATCTGGGTCTAAGTGAATTTTTATGAATCTATCTCTCTTTTTTGGAAGTCAATTTCATCACATCAACCTGGATGAGTATAGCCCTTATGGTCTTGACCACTTCCCTACTTTGGATGGGACTGAGGAAGGAAAAAACCTGCGTTCGGTAAAGGCATGTGTCAGCGCAGATGAGTGATGTCGGTAGCCTACTAGACTAGTTTTTTCCCAGTGGGTTGAGGCGATCTCTTCCATTTCAATCAGAGCGAGCTGAACGAGTAAAAGATAGTTCCTAAGATCGGTAGTTCGGATATCGATATAGTGAGGTCAGAGGCAGGGAGACTAAGGGCAGTGGTTGGCACAAGCCTCCCTCTCCTCGAGAAGGGAAAAGGCTCTTTCTATGCCGGCCAATCAACCGGCGCCGGAAGCTCTTCGTACCCGAACAATGACGTTATTTATTTCACATCGGGAGAGAGAAAAAAGGAAGTCTGTTTGTGAAGACACAGATTCCATAGAGGAGCAGTAAGACAACAAAGAAGATACAAGGTCCGCAAAATCTTATCTTATTCTTCAGAATATAAGAAAAGAAACCAGCTCTCGGAGAAAATTCCATAATGAAATTGAGATAAAAAAAAGGAGAATTCCGCGAGATAAAGAGCTCTGTTTACATAAAGAGAAAAAGAAAAAGTCGTGAACACGAATTTTGGGAGGTTTCTTTTCTTCCTCTCTTAGTATTAATGCCTTTGTCCGGAGGCCTTCTTGCACCAGCTCTGAAAGAGAAAAGACTGTCTTAGTGTATGTCCCACGACCTGTGGGACCGACAGTAAGTAGTTGGAATCATCAACTTTCTCGATCTTGGCGGGTCGCTTACACGGAGGTAGAGTCAGCTGACCGTTAGCGATCAACATGTCAAAGATGGCGTATACCTTGTCTTGCTTTCATCGAAATCCCCGACTTTAGAGAGTCGTTCTTTGAGTGAGAGAAATTTGCCTGTTCATCCCCGTTTTCGTTCTTTTGCGCAGGGGTATGAGGGGTTAGCCTCAGAAGGACAACTTTTTGGATAAGGCGTTAAGGCGGCCTTCTAAACCTCGGCCTATCTGGTCCCGTGTAACACCCTTTCGTTTCTATCGAAAACCATATGAAAGCATTTGATCGTCGCGGTTTCACCGGTCAGGGTCTAGCACTAGACCTGAAAATTGAAGGGCTGCACTTCACGTTGATGTCGGCTATGCGCCTTTTGCATCCGATGACTCAGTTCACAGACCTAGTAATGAAAAGGAAGAAAGCAGATGGCCGGGCTTCCCTCCTCCTAGTATCCTTACTGGTTGTCTGTCTTTTAGGCCGAAGAGGGGAGGTCCAAGTTTTCACCTGATGGGGCACTAATAGCGATACACATTCCCAGTGTCTCGATAGCTCATAGGCGTTTTAGGAGCCCTATTGAGCTGCGCAATCGCGCTTCTTTCGCCTTACTTACCGCGTATCGTATCCAAACGAATAGAGTAAAGTGGTTTGGTTGTTGTGCGCGCCGGAGGCCTAAGGGGGTAGTCGAGTTGCTTACGAGGGGTGCTGTACGCTAACGGTAATTACCTTCCTGGAAGGAGAGCCACAAAAAAAAGAGACTCTAAACAGACTGTATTAGAGCAGCAGTCGGACTTGTTGCAAGAAAAGGTAGTTTCATGTGTTAGGCGAAGAGAATCTAGCACGTAGAAGCTTATTATTGATAGATGAGAACACAGCTATTGAAGCTATTGAATCAACTGTGGGACTTGAGCTAGTTGGCATATCTTCACTTTTTGAATCTTCCTCTATAGCATCCAATTACTGATTCTTAAACTGACACAAAGGAGATAGAAGAAAATCTTTGCACTGTATTCGCGACAGAAGGGCTTTGTGCAAGTGAAGAAGGAAGAATGCTTTAGATTCCAAGTCAGGCATTCTCCCCACTAGAGGAGGTAGGAAAAACCTCAGTAAAGATATCACCCACGCGGTAGTTTACTTGCTTACTCTTTCTTTTCTCCCTCAATGCTCGTGCAAAGAAGATTGACTGATGCCATACTCTTATATAAGAAAGAGTTATTCTAGTGCAGCTAGGAGAGCTAACTAAGACTAGGAGCTGTTCGGGAGAACTCCGATTTCAGACGATTTGAAATAGACGAGATCAGATCGTAGAATAGAAAAGTCTGTTCCCGCGTCCCTGGTTCTATCAAACCAGACTATTTCATTCCAGGGAGCGCTAAGAAGCAAGGCCGGAGTTAGATGAGCGTAGGTTAGGTCAGCTACCAACTAAGCTAGGAAGCTGGGAAGAGCCGGTACGGCTAACTTTCTTTCCGATGTGTTAGTGTCGTTCCGAACTCTTAATTGACTACCGGCATGCTCAACGGCCTAGGAGCGATTGCCCGACAGCCATAAGACCTGACCGCTATCAGACTGAGGAGTAGATTTCTTTCATCGATCACCCATTCCCCTTTTACCCAATGCCCTCAATCGACGAAACCGAACGTACTGTCAAGGGCTTACTGAGGCCCCATCTGCATCCTTCTTGAGCTAAGCTAATAGAGACTAACCGCTGACGTGCTTACTAAGTACTAAGTGAAGGATACCTGCAGGAGGGACTAGAATAGGCCGGCGGAGATTGAATTGGGGATATGAAGAGGGTAGGGGACTTCTCCCTCTCTCTCGCGTATATAGGAGGAGGGAAGGAGTCTCCGGGTCCCGTGGTTGCCTCAGAACCATTCACTGCAACGTTTGCGTTTGATTAGAATGCCCTTTCTACTGTCTGTTTTGTTTTTCCGACACGTAGTGCCTTCTCTGTTCTTCTTTCAGAGATCCGCTGCAACCCTAACCGTTCCGCCTTCTTCCCTCTTCCGTTCCGTGGAACTCGTTCAGCTTCTGTGGTCACTCCAATCGCTTGACAAAGGGCTCCCTTCTCTAAGGCCTATCTCTGGGATGCACCCTTTCACTCAAGAACATGCAGATGTTTTGGGGGAGTACCAACCAACGGTGCCGGGGTAAAGACAATAGGGGAGCTATGCTCAACATAGTAGCCATATCATATACCTGGGTCACGTCGATTCCCTTTGGTTACTAGGGTAGGGGCAATGCACCTGAGCAAGAATCGAGGCACATATGATGCCGTTGATATTCTATAAAAATGCAAAACGAGCCCGCTTTCGGGTATTCCAGCGCCCAACAAAGACCAACAAGGACCTGTCGAAAGCCTGGCTAAGGTGCGGAGCAAAGAAGAAAGTGCGCACCCCTCTCTTGGTTCTCTTGGTTGGGAGCTTCACTCTGCTAGTTTCCGCTGTGCTCTTCCCTTATTCATAACCTTGGCTTTGGCTTGAGTGCCCAATAGCTGAACCGCTCTTTCGTGCGAGACAACGATGCTAGGGGTAGATACACATTGAAATTTCAAAGAAAAGAGTTGAAAGAAAAAGATATATTTATATATAGAAAGAAGGGTGGGATTCTAGAAATAGAAAGACTTTAGAAATTACTTCCACAGACCTCCATAACGGCACTCTTGCCGAGAAAGCCCTTCCACATCAAAGGGAACTAAAGCTTTTACTGACCCCAATGACCTTTTTTGCTATCACACGAGAAGAATTCATTATCGCCAATGATGCTAACAATATATAACTTGCCTTAGCTGAGTGAATGGTGAAATGAAATCATACCTGCCCAGACATGTCGGACCGGATGACCTAAAGATCGCGTGGTTACGCCTTAGGAACCGGAGAGGCATATGAAGATTTTTTATACACTTCCTTTCTAAGAATTCTTCTTGAAAACCGAGAGATAGGTGCGTAGCAATGAATGAATGCAATTCCGCCGGTCATCTGTGAAACCTCTCGCATTTAGGAAATGCTTTCAGGAAGGGTGCCGTTTCAACTCATTCCCAGCTGTGCCATCTTACCAGCGGCTCAGTCTCGCTGCCTTTCCTTTCTATCTATCACTATTTTTCCCTAAGAAATCAACTAGCGCCTTCCTTCGCTTCAGCTGCTAGGAGTCAATCCTAGTCCCTATTTACCAGCAATAGAATGGGACAGTTTCACACTGAGTTGTATGGAATAGAGACATTCAAAACCATTAAACCTCATCGCGCACTCAAAAGCTTCCTAAAGTGCAGTCGCTCATCAGTCGTCAAACTAATGTGCTCTTCTTTCTATCAATAGGGCCCTGGGGAGTAGCCCGCCCAACTCCACAAACTCCCATAGCCTCGGTCTCTTTTTCTTTTTAGGAAACCTACATTCCAAACTAGACTAGGGGCCCCCTCCAGTCTGCCTTCAAAGACTCCTTCCAGCACTTTGTCACAATCTTCTTCTGTGTTGAAGCGGAATCGGAAGAAATAATAAGCCATGCATTCTTTCAAGAATAGAAAAACTCCCTTTACCTTCTCCTTCTATTCTAGAAAATCAAAAGGCGAACATCTAATCTAGACCCGGTCGCCTTTCTATGAAATGAAGGCGAGCAACCCAGCCCCCCTCTTGCTTATAGTTGTCAGGGTCAGCGGTCTTTCCTTTCGCAATAGCAGCTCCTAGAAGCTGGGCTTAGGGTGCGCCTCCTGCGGTCGTTTCAGTGACTCATAGGGCTTCCCTCAGCTCAGACTGGTGTCGCCACCTCTCCCGGGACCGGAATGATTATCCCTGCCCGATGGGTCTACATTCATCCCTGAATGTCGTCGGGTACTGTTCACTTCCCCGCCATTCTTGTAACCGTCACCTGTAATCCGCGCAGGTGTGTCCGCACCCCCTGGAGTGGACGAGAAAGAAAGGATTTCTCGGAGCAACCCCCCTGGTTCCAGACCCAGGAGTTCACTTTCCCGTATGAGCATTCGGTACATGTATAAGTCCGTGGAAGAGTCAAAGGGTCACCACTACTGAGGATCTCCCCCCTATATCTTAGATGGGTCGTCTGAGGGTTCGCCGCGGTTCATTGCTTTGCTGACACACTAGGCTACCCTTCTCCGAAAGCTCCGCGGGACCACCTACTAGTCTTCTTCGGCCGGAGGGGTTTATTGCACGCACAAAACCCCGGGACGCTGGCTCCCGCAGAGGAAAGCCCAACGAATGTCAGATGCAAAGCCCCGCACCTCATTAAGATCATATTGGCATACTCCCCCAAAAAAAAAAGAGCAGACCCCATTGAAGACGGGAGTGAGGTACAACAAGGCCATTTCCGTCCACCTTCTCACGGAGCCGTACGTGGACGTTACCGCTCATACAGCTCCCAGCCAGCAAGCAATTAGCTTTCAGAATGGAAGTGTGGATGAATCGACATCAATTCGGGTTTTCTTAGAATAGAAGCAAGAACATGCATGCTCCTTCACAGTCGCGCACCTTTCACAAAAACCTAAGGATCCCCCTCCCCCTTGCGCGCTTTTTGAAGCTGAGAGTGAAGGCCTTCCTTATCCTTAGACGTTCTCGCTCCGACAATGAGAGCATCATTAACACATACGAAACCTGAGCTTTGCTTACTTTCTTTTCTTAGGTATAACCTTCGCCACGACATTAGTGGCTTAGCTCTTAGCGCTTCCCGCGGGAACGAGCGGATAGCGAAATGGAAATGTTGGCTCTGCGATCGACATGTGGACTGACGGACAGACCAGTGCCTTTTTCTGTGCTTTAAGGGCACAGGGGCAGACCCCACCCTCTTGATTTGGTCATGTCCCTTGCCGAAATTGGGCCGGGAGGAAGAGGGTTGGCTTTGCCAACGCAGTCCGCGCGGTACGGAAGATTGGTCCGCTCCGCAAAGCTGAGCTTTTCGGTTCCAGGCCTTCAACCCTGTTTGCCTCCTTTCTCTTGCTTGATTTCATAGTTCCAATGCCCGAGCTCCAGCTTTGCTTGCGTTCTTCACCGGCGCTCGCCGGATGTATCACTCATCCCGCTCCTTAGGTCAGGATCTGTTTTTTCTCATATCAGAATGACGGGAATGAATCGCATATGTTGGTTTAGAATTGCTCGGGAATTCTTTGATAGTTACTTTTCTTTTGCCAGGTTCTACTCCTCTTTTTTGTCGATCGAGCCGCTTTCCCTCATTCTACTCGTCCAGCCCTCTTCACGAACTTGTACAATCAATGCCACAGAGATAGCCAACTCTATTATCAAATAAATAGGGAAACGGGCGACGATTTGGCACCAGATATCTGGAGGTGTGGAAAGAGCTGCTGTGATAAGCGGAAAAACCATAAAAAAACGACGATTGCTCGTGAAGGTTTCCACAGACGCTTCGCGCCTTGGTTCTGGCAAACGGATCAAAATGACAGGTACCTGGGAGCATACCGATGGAATGAACGAAATACGAACAGTGAACATAATATGGTCATAGATCTTAGGTTGTAACTTGATCATGAGCAAATTTGTTGATGTTGCACCCACGAAGTATGGAAAGTGCCAAACATTGGGAACTACCCGGGGAGGAGTTAGGAACAGGAACAAGGAGAAGCGAGAACCACTTAAATGGAGGAATCGATTGTATTTCGTCCTTTGTTCCCCATAGCAACTGGGGATCGAAAAGCACCAAATTTGATGACTTATTAAGGGAAAGACGAAGTACGAGCATGCTATTGGAGACGTTGCAACATATGTCGGGGAGGCCTCCGTTGATTGTGTACGAACAAAATACGAGTCCAAAGGTAGGGTAAGAAAGGGTTTAGCTAATGGAGAAATTGACTCTTCCGGGAACCAGTAACGCGTAAACCATGTCAAACCAAGACCGATCAATATCCGAACGAAACGGATTCGAACTTCTCCTAGAATAGTTTCCAGTGCGAAAGAAAAAGAAAAAAAAAAGTAATTCAAAGGAGAAATTTTTTTTCCGTGTGAAAGCAAAACTCCTATCAGTGCGGGTCCCCAGTAGTCAGAGCAAGACCCGGAATATTTTTCAGAAAACACAGGTCAAAATACATTTCAAACTATAGATCTAAAAGGGCAAAGCATAAAAAAAAAAAGAGAAAAATCTTGGACAATATGACTTCTTATTCAAAGAAAATATTACATACAAAAAATAGAAAATGAAATATTCAATATTTCTTTTCTATTTCAAGAATATTGAATCTATTTCCATGAATATGGATAGAATTCTAAGATTTTTCAAGAATTTGAATAGAATAGATAATAGAAAGAGAAAAGAGAAAGAAAGTCGAATATAAAGAAAGTCGGATAAAGGCGGGCTCCTTCTCGCCTATAGGAATGTTGGGAGGGAGACTTTCCCTTCTTTTTCTTTTCGGAGATCCACGGAAGAATCAAAGAAAGAGAGAGTACTGGAAGCATATAGTTAGTTAGGGTAGAGGTTAAGTATGATCTTGATAGTAAAGAGAAATTGCTGGCGCTCGAGTTATATAGTCTTTGGTTCGGGAGTAGAGGAGAGGGAGACACCCATTGTAGATTCCAGCCGAGAAGACCAGGAGAAGGATTAAGAATGTCATATATCTCAGGAGCTAGATCAGTTCCCGATGAACAAGTCAGAATTGCCTCAACAAAAATGGATGGAATTGGACCTAAAAAAGCCATTCAGGTTCGTTATCGATTAGGTATCAGTGGGAACATCAAGATGAATGAGTTAACTAAGTCTCAGATCGACCAAATTGAACAAATGATAAGTCAAGATCATGTTGTTCATTGGGAATTGAAGAGGGGAGAACGAGCAGACATCGAACGATTAATTTCTATTTCTCGTTATCGTGGAATTCGTCATCAAGATGGATCGCCCTTACGCGGCCAACGAACTCATACTAATGCAAGGACTTGTCGCAAGCAAATTCGGAAATGAAAGAAGCAAAATTGGTACTTGTATTATAAAGAACACTGTGAAATAGTTCACTTTTTCTTTTTCGAAAAATGTCTTTCACTGGTGACTAATCACGTATACGTATAGTAGGCCTCCTTCGCCACTCCACGTCTGGCTCGGCTTGGTCTCGCTTCGCCCGCCTATCGTATCGGCTCGGCTTCGTCCATCAAGCAACTGCTTCCGCCTCTCTAGGCTTCGCTATCGCTTATGACTGGTAGTTTTCTCTATGTAGTGGTCGGCCAACTAAAGTGAAGCTTCTAAGAAGCGAAAACGTCGCTTCCCGAATGCCTCTTGTACTAATGTGTGTATGGTCTAGTCTTTCCAATGCTTCCTTGCCGCCAAGGCACGCTAGACTGAGAGTAAGCAAGCTACTCAGTCTTCTTCTTTCTATATGTCATTGAAATTCTGTCTCTGTTTTCTTTTCGGATTCCGAGGATGAGCCGGCCGATCCTAAAAGAATTTAGGAGGAGCCGGACGACGAAGCCTCCTCCTAAGATAAAGATGTCTCCGACGCGACCGGACTTCAACTCTTTTTCTTGGTTCGGTCAGGAGGGAAAAAAGAGATATGCTGCTTTCTATCAGCCCAAGCGAATACCCCTGCTTCCACGGTCCTTTTACCGAGGAAGAAAGAGATGCGGGAGGACCCGGGGCCAGAGCAAGTTGGGGTATAGAGCCGTAAGCGCGGTGGGGGTGACAGAGGACGTGCTCGTACGGTTCATAGTGGGGTATGATATTCTCGTGGATTGTTGGGAACGTCCTCTATATTCGAAATATGCCTTTCTAGGAGCATTACGATCTGCAGCTCAAATGGTCCCTTATGAAGTCTCTATTGGTCTGATTCTTATTGTGCGCCTTGTGAGCACGTTTGGATCCGCGAAGGCAATCGCTCGGATGTTCCCCTAACCCAACCCGGGAACGGACCGGAGGGAACCGCAGCATGAGGAATGTCCGCGTCTCGTCGCAAGGCGCTTGCGTTTGAGTTTTGGGTCATAGGGCGAGCTTTGGGCGGGCAGTGCAGTCCGGGGCACAAGGGTCCTGGTACTACCCAGGTGCGAAGAACCCCGGAGGTGACTTCAATGAGCAGAAATGTAACTCACTGGCCTAAACGACGAGCAAACACTCGAACGTGAGAGCAAGGGATCACCAAACGAATGGACGAGCTCCAAGGAGGGAG